ACCGAAAATATGGTAATTGCACGGAGATAGGACAAACGTGTTATACGATTAAAGTTAAAAGTCAGATGTATTGAATTGAAAGAAAATGCCATAAATAATAAACTGTACTTAATAAAATAAAAACGTTTAGTTGAATAAAAATGGTCCACACGAGCTGCGGGTTGAACGTTATACAGTTAGTAATAGCTTCACCACCGAGTTATAGTTTTTCAGCGTCAGAAAAACACAAAACTTCTCTCATATTCCACATTCTTATTCTTAATAAATGACCAAGCAGGAAATTAGATCATAAATATTCAGAAGCATCTTTTCTTCATGTAACAGTCGTAGAGCAGTCCCTCATATACAAGGTAATATAGAAGACAATAGAACAATGACATGAAACAACATATAGCCTCCTTGACCGAATTCTTCTACAATACACAACACCTAGGGTTGAACTGACACACTGTGGTATTCATTGTGAAATCGGTTTCTCGACAAGTAAATAGGTAAATATGTAACAAAGCAAAGTTCGTCCAGAAATTTGTGAAGGCTTTCATGAGAGATAATTTGACTGAATCGTCCCTATTGTGAAAAATAACGAGTCTAGACAAGTTTGGAATAAACATAAAAAATCTTTATTTTCACAAATGTTTGTTTGTTTGTTTTTAATGCACAAAACTACACAAGAACTATCTGTGCACTGCCCACCACGGGTATCGAAACCCGGTTTCTAGCGTTGTAAGTCCGCAGACATACCGCTGTGCCACTGGGGGCATTCACAAATGAAAATAAAACACAGCTTGCATACCCATACTGACGAGTAGACAGTCCTTTTCCCTCTAGGTTGTTTTTGGTCCTGACGCCCCCTTTCTCGCAGGATCGATTGCAACAGAACCAAATACAATTATTAAAAAACTAATCCTCTCTGTAGATCATTTACTGGAGAATTGAACTAAGAAAACGCGATCAAGTCTAGAATGAAAACTCCACTTCTTTGTCCAGTGGACGGTATCATCTTGTGACCTCTGTTCTCCGACAGCATTAGTTGGCTGTCACTTTCAGTTAATGCCATAATCGACCAACAAAGGATATTTCAGTGCTGCCCTGTTCAACTCGGTCCTGAAATATCCTTCGTGGCAGAGAAGACGTCATCTACTAAAGAAAACGAAGAACAGAGTAAGTAGAAGATAATGTTAACGACTTTCTGGACCACTAACTGCAGTCACGATAGTGCGGAAAGAAGCAAGTAAAACATTTGAAGATTTCTATATCACTGTAGAAAGTAGAAAATAAACAAACATGATATACCCGCATGTAAGAACAAGATCTCGACCGGATTTAACATGTCCAAAACTATAGCTTTAGAAAATTTAAAAATTTTGTATGTTGTGAAATATGTAATACGGAAGAGTGAGACATGTACACATCACACTGTAAATACACAAGCTGATTCTACAATTAAGTGTCTTTTCAATACTCCTTTCTGATAGTGATATAAGTTTGTATAAAAAATGAACCAAGACAGATATGACAAAGAATACTGTTGGTTCATTATTTCAGACTTACCTCACTTACATTGATGACGTATGGTGTCCTTACAAATCTAGGGGTGTTATCGTTGGCATCAGTAACAACCACGCGAACAGGGATGGAGATGCTCTGTAACAACATATATTTAAAAGTTATAACATTTCCATTGTTAGTTGAGGAAAATGATATTAAAAATATTTGAATATCAATCTTTGCGATTTGAGTCTAAACATTCACTTTAAAATAAATCCATTGTATTTGTGCCCTTATCAACTATCACAATTCTGTAACAATAAGAGTAATTTAATAGAAACTTACATTGAGGTACATGTTCCTTACATTTAGCAAGGTAAACAACAATAAAGAAAGATATTAGACTGAGATTAAAACTCACTGGATCATCTGCCCCAACCTTAGAACAAATCACTTCAAACTGGACATTCTGTAGTCCTTCCACGCCTTCCTTATCTAACTTTGTCTTGAGGATGAGTGTTTTAGAAAATGGTTGTATTGAAACAGGAGAGTTTTCGTCAGCAAGAGATAATGAGATATTACCGTTTCTAGAAGGGACTCCCTCAACGTGAAGATTTCCTATTACGCTACCTGGCGGATAAAATACATGAATGTTGATGCACAGAAAACTTAAATTGTTTCTATCTAATTCTAGTTGGACTTCTGGGTCTAGCTTTTACTTTCATTTTAGAAATTCCCTAACTGGCTGAGTACATGGGATTCATAGAAGTGAAACCCGTCTGTACTACCATAATTGTCGGTAGGTAGCGCTAGTAGCGCTTTACGCGATACTTTATACACGATACTTGTGTACAGAAGTACATTATATTCATACAATAGTAAATTGACCAACAACAACTTATAACTACAATGAATTTTTATTATGATTATAATTTTTTATTGGGAAATGTATCATTATATACACGATATAAGTATTAGAAGATTGTTGTGGTAATCTGAATTCTGTCCACCGCGGGAAATCGAGTCTCGGATTTTAGCGTTATAAGTCCGTTAAGTTACTGCTAACCCGCGGTGGACATCATTGATTTGATATGTGTAAGATACGCACAAAGCTACACGATGGGCTATCTGTGCTCTGCCCACCACGGGTATTGAAACTCGGTTTCTAGCGTTTTAAGTCCGCAGACATACCGCTGTGCCACTGGGAGGCCGGTGGACATCATTTGAAGGGTACGTTAGTTTAAAATCACCAAGAAAAAATGCAATCATTATAATCTCACATTAAAAAGTTAATAATTTTGTAAATGAGAAAAGAAAATACAAAACCATCGTAGTTATGACGTATTGGTTCAACAAAAATAAATCTTTATATAGGAAACCATCGTGGTTATGACGTATTGGTTCAACAAAAATAAATCTCTATATAGGAAATCATCGTGGTCATGACGTATTGGTTCAGCGCTTAGCCGAACTTTCGACTGAACATCGACTACATTTAGCTAACATGGACTTTTGAAACTACGCGCACTAGATAATTTGGTTTGTGCCTATGACATACTTTGGCTCTACAAGCGATCTCGAAAGCTTTTATAGTTTTGCAAAGGGATTAATTTGTGTTTTGAAACCAACTTTGTGTAGGAACAAAATATTTGTAAAACATGAGACTGTTTCGTTTTATGTCAGAAAACAAACCGTTGATGTTTACTACAAAAAAAACCAAAAAAACTTCAATATTTATGTTAAAAAGGATTAAAAGCTGGTTTTAAAATGGCCACCGTAACCTATTAAGAAAACAACTTACCAACAGCTAGTGACTCACTCACTGTAAAAGCTTCCGCTGAGCCCCCACTGGCCAGGTAACAGCGATTGTCTATCAAACCAACAAATGTTTTTCTTTTTATTAAGTTGTATAAACACAAAACTTTTTAAAACAATCATTCGTATGTATTTTTCCATGAAGAATGTTTATATTTTAACAGATATTAAATTTAAAAAGTGGCATTCAAATACATTTCCTCAAATAAAAAAAAAAAGATTTACACATAGGCGCCCGCAAGAAGGGGCAAGAGGGGGCATTTGCCCCCTTACATTTCACAAAAAATTGCACTTATCATGATGTGAACCTTACATCGTAGTTAAAGTAAATATTTTTATTAAAACTGTAAAATTGTGTTCGCGTTTAAGCACACATTCTTTTAGTCTGTTGATTTACACTGTAAAAGCTGATCCCCTACAAACATGTTTTGCCCCTCCCTTGAAAACATTTCTGTGGGCGCCAATGGATTCAAACATAAAAAGCGTGAAAGTAAGAGTATATTTAAATTATTTTGATAAAATTTAAAGTAACCAGTTATTAACATAAAAAAATAAAAGTTGTTGAAAACTAGATCTTGAATAGAACGAAGTGTGAGAAGAGATGGGGATTATAAAGGAATATATTGTAATTCCAGAAGCTTAAACTTAAAGTATTCGAAAACCAACCCTAATCAGAGCAAAATTGGAAACCCACCAAGATCACTGCACCAGAATATTTGTGAATATTTCTAAACTCTACTGTCACGTGACAATCAGATCATACTTTGATTTTATTTAAGTACAAAGCTACACTGTGACCACTACAGGAATTAGAAGCCCTCGAGCGTACCGACAATCATAGTTGGAACCCGCTATAAGTAATACTACACCAGAAAGTACGTGAATACTTGTAAACTATATAAGGGTAGCAACTGTTTCTTGAAACCAAATAATTTCCACTCAGGTATATAACTTGGAGAAAATTACGCCAATCTATATAAACTTTGGTTTAAGTTTGACAACTGTGACTTTATTGTGTAATAAAAGTTCTTTATCTTATATCTGTTATAATTTATTTGTGGCAAAGCTAATAAGGTTATTTGTCGCCATCCCTAATTTTGAACTACTAGTCAGAGGGAAGGCAGCCAGTCAGCAATGTCCTTCCACCCACCTTTAAAGCTAAGGTATTAACTGCCACTCTTATAAAACACCCAAAATTAAAAGGGAAGGAGATATTTTTCAGCATTTGCGGATTCGAATCTGTCTCGCCAGCTCTACCGAGAGCTGTACTACAGGGCCAACCCACGCTCTTTACTCTTTACTCTTTTGTTCTTTATATGAAATTTAGAACTGATACAAAGATTAACTAACAAAACTTCCTATATTGACGAACGGGCCTAACAAAACTTCCTATCTTGACGAAAAGGCCTAACAAAACTTCCTATCTTGACGAACAGGCCTAACAAAACTTTCCATATTGACGAACGGGCCAAACAAAACTTTCTATACTGACGAACGGGTCCAAAAAAAACAAAAAACCTTCCCATATTGACGAACGGGCCAAACAAAACTTTCTATACTGACGAACGGGTCCAAAAAAAAACTTCCTATATTAACGAACAGGCCTAACAAAACTTCCCATATTGACAAACAGGCTTAATATAACTTCCTATATTGACGAATGGGCCTAACAAAGCTTCCTTTGTTATGTCATCATATATTTCTAACAAAATTGAGCTGTTTGGTGATTATATGGGTTGAAATACTGATGATGATAGAACTATATTTCCCTGGTGATTATATGGGTTGAAATACTGATGGTGATAGAACTATATTTCCCTGGTGATTATATGGGTTGAAATACTGATGGTGATAGAACTATATTTCCCTGGTGATTATATGGGTTGAAATACTGATGATGATAGAACTATATTTCCCTGGTGATTATATGGGTTGAAATACTGACGGTGATAGAACTATATTTCCCTGGTGATTATATGGGTTGAAATACTGATGATGATAGAATTATATTTCCCTGGTGATTATATGGGTTGAAATACTGATTGGTGATAGAACTATATTTCCCTGGTGATTATATGGGTTGAAATACTGATGGTGATAGAACTATATTTTCCTGGTGATTATATGGGTTGAAATACTGATGGTGATAGAACTTCATGACGTCGAAGTTTTGAGTCGTATCGTGGTTGGTTAGTAAAGCTCAACAAACAGGCATTAAGCTTCAAAGGTCAGAGAAGGTTTTGTGTTAATCATCGTCTTCAGAGTAACGATACAGGAGAGACAATGGTACAGTCAACCAGACAATGGTACATTCAACCAGACAATGGTATAGTCAACCAAGCATGAAGTATTCATCTATTACCTCATGCCATTATCAGTAGTTTTTACTCCATTCCTTCTGTCTTTCATTCACGTATATGGATAGTAGGGTCATTTTTCCATTCTACATGAAGAAAGTTGAGAGGATACTGTTTCCATTCTCAGTACTTTATACATTACAGTAACTAAAACCGATTAAAAATCCCGCCATTCGTCAAAATGTGGTTCTATGACTACGTAATATCTAAGTGCAAATGCATAACTAGTTTTGTGTCATCCTCATGATTTTGTGCATCATACGTCTATGAATACTTTGTAAACAGTCATTCCCTCCCATTAATTAACTTCGGTATATAATGAACCAGAGACATCTAAAGGTCTGATGTAGTGTCCTTTCTTTTCGCAATACAGGGTGCATGTGAGGTACCAGGTTTTCTACAGTCTGATATTTTGTAACCCAGTAGAAACTTAAAAACGTTTATTTTGTTTTTTCAGAGTCTTCTTAACGCTAAGTTATTGGAAGACTAGAGAGATGACAAAAAGTTCTAAGGTCGATCTGAAATATTGTTCTTGATGACTTCTTGTATCTTCGTATTTTCATACGAAGAAGATTCTCTTCCGTTGGTTTTTCACTGAGCAAAATTTATTTTAGCCTTTGAACTGTAAGCAACCATTAGTATATGTAAATAGTATATAGTAGGGCCCGGCATGGCCAGGTGGTTAAGGCACTCGACTCGCAATCTGAGGGTCGCGGGTTCGAATCACCGTCACACCGAACATGCTCGCCCTTTCAGCCGTGGGGGCGTTATAATGTGACGGTCAATCACACTATTCGTTGGTAAAAGAGTAGCCCAAGAGTTGGCGGTGGGTGGTGATGACTAGCTGCCTTCCCACTGCTAAATTAGGGACGGCTAGCGCAGATAGCCCTCGTGTAGCTTTGCGCGAAATTAAAAACAAACAAACAAACAAAAGTATATAGTAAACAATGTATACAGTATTATTATTCTTAGTAGGAGCATTCTGACACTGTCTGAACCACCTATGTTATTAACTGTCTGTAAGGAAGCAGTTAGAACTCTAACTTTCCTAAATGTTGGGTTCACCGTGTGATTCTGCTATTTCAAGCAAGCGTCCAGAAATTTCTGTCCACAGATTAAACAGATTACACTCCTCAGTAAATTAAAGAGCTTCTATTAAGACAGTTATTTTTCTATGCTCTAACCTCATATGCATGTCGTTATCTTTAAAGGCACTGACAAACTGACCAAATGTTAGTGGATCTATGTTTTTTGTGGGATAGTTTTGGATAAGATTTCCTCCCCTTCTACTCTACTTAGGAACCTGATAAGTGAAAATTCCTTTAGATGAGTTTTCTAAAACTACTGATCATGTTATTGGTTTTCTAGTGGGAAGTTGCTCAGTGTTGTTATAGCAATTATTCTAGACAGGAAGTACGTTAACTAGCTCACTGTTCATCAATCAATATGTTTACTTTAGAGATAATCTCCAACTGGGCCCGGTGTGTTTTATAGATACTTTGAAATTATTAGGCTGTTGATGTAAGAGCAAAATTTAGCAGCGGTTTATTGAATATTTCGGATCCAATGGTGGTTGGAGTTATTTAAAATGTTGCTAGATATACTGGCGTGTGATATTTAATTCCAGGCAACTTAATTACAGAGACGACTTGTTTGTAAAAATCCAGGTAACATGGTGGTCATGACGATAGTAGTTCTGAAGCTTCAGGTATTCTTGTGGTAACATAAATAATGTTTAAGTACTAGGTAGCATTGTGGTAGTGAATGGAAGACTTTAAGTTCCATGTAACAAAGAGGTAGTGGGCTTTCACTGCACAATCTGACAAAGATTCTGGTGATCTATCGTCAAAGAAACTAACTGATTGTATAACTAGTTTGTTCTATATCTGTCAAGACCTTTTTTTGGGAGTTTACACTACAGAATTAAGTTTTGAATAATCTACAATTGCAATTGTCAAATTTATATCTTCTGACAGCTTGTCATTCACAGATCTTTCTACAACAGAATTCCTTAACAATTAATAGTCTGCAATATATATTTATATCTTCTGACAGCTTGTCATTCACAGATCTTTCTACAAAAGAATTCCTTAACAATTAACAGTCTGCAATACATATTTATATCTTCTGACAGCTTGTCATTTACAGATCTTTCTACAACAGAATTCCTTAACAATTAACAGTCTGCAATACATATTTTCAAAAACACCCTGTACATATTAACAATTTATATTGATTTCTTTGTTTTAGCGATTAAAATTTCTTTTATTGCTTCAGTAAACTTCGTTATGTTCATGGTCGTGATCTTTCAAAGCTTTCCATCACTTTCTTATTTTCCAACATCTTTATTGGTTGTGTTTTTTCAAGTGGTTTGTAACTTTTTAACCATTCTTCGGTATGTTTTTCCAACGTCTCTCTAGAATCTTCTTTCCTTTATCGAATTTATAATTTCAATACATTTTCAAATTTCTACTTATATTCTGCTGTGTCTACCAATGTTTCTCTTCTGACAGCTATCTGGTAATATTATACCATAATTGTTACACTCTTGACTGTGCTCTAACTAAATTTTTTGATATACTTTCTTTGTTCTTCTAAATTCTTTTTACATTTCTGCTCACATTCTTTCACTCTTTGTCACTTTTGAGGTCGTATTCTTGTAAGGTTTTTTAAAATTATTATTGCATTAATGGTTTTATTCTTTTAACATTTTTCTACATTACACTTTTGACTGTGTTCTTCCACGCCCTTATACATTTTTGGTCACATTCTTGGTTTGGTTTTCCCGACACTTTTTTTTTAAATCTTTATGCTGTTGTTAAATAATCTGTTCGATCTGTAGTCCACTTTAATCGCCTAATTTAATCTAAACATAAAATTGTATACATTCTGCTTTCAACTGAATTATCTTGGGATCGTCAGATAGAAATTCGCGATTTATTCAGAACTGACTTATTTAAAACTTTAATCTCTTGGGGATATTAAAACAGGTACTTTATTTAAACATAATCACAATCCGAGCCACGAACAGCCTCACTCTGACTTTATGTCGTAATTAGCTGAGCACCAAATCTAAAAAATAAACAGGAGTTCGCTAACTAATTTGCATAAGACTCTTTAGCTGTTTGCATAATAATAGACACTTATTTTTCTTCTTTTACTCAATTCTAAGTATAAGATACAATTTGAAATAAAACAAAAGAGGAAAAGTGTCAGTGTATCCATTTACCTTGAGTAGGAAAACTTGAAATTACCACGGGGAGAGGAAACATGAGCATTAGTAGGCCTACGGAGTTGCAAGGGGCTCTACATATACGGTGATTTCTCCATGTTCCACGTCTCTTGAAATGTTCTTTGTTTTCGACATTATTAGAAGCTTCCATCCTAGCTAGGGGAAAACAATAAATACGTAGAAACATGGCTTGAAAGTAGAATTGCCGTTAACAATATACGCAAAACATAATTCTTGTATAGAAAGTTTCGGAAAAATTATTAAATTTCTTTATTTCTTTTTTAAATAAAATATCATACCGACTAGAAATTATTCACTGAAGATATACATCAAATTATATATCAACTAGAATTCATCAATAACAAAATATTAACCGAATGATAAGTTACGTTACAAATCATGAACACAGACAAATATTTACGTTTAATACAGCGCAACCTAGTGTGTATACCGCGTACTGTGATGCAGAGCAAAAACTGTTAGGGTATGGTATTGCAGTAGAGGGTGACATTTTGAACATCCTGGAGAAGAGATGAGGACAAAATTTAATTCAGAATTCTAAAATTTTGAGCTTAAGCAGATCTTACACGTAAATCAATCTATTTTAGCTTACCTCCTATAACTTAGATTGTAAGATTTTTCTAATCGCAGCAAGTTATTCTGCATTTGTTTATTCTTCTGAAGAAGAATAGTGAACTATTCGAAAGCGCTCGAGTTTGGGTCTCGTTTGAAAACCATTATAACTTTTGTATGAGATCCTGTATGCTAACTTCCTAATCTGCATTTGTTTTGTTACTGTTGCTATATCTAATCGCGAATTAAACTTCAATATTAAAGTGGAGCCAATAATTTTACAAAATAGTTTATTTTTCTTTTTCTAAAGAAGTTCTGAATTTATAATCTGCTCCACATATGGAGTTCAAACACCATTTAGCTAACTTACATTATCTTCTCTCCAAAAATAACAATAAAAACTCTTTCTCATACATTTAAGTGCACCATTAATAAATAATCTTCAAAGTGCTTTTTGTTTTACAGATTAACTTTAAAATAAATTTAACTTTAAATATAATTTTTCAAAAGGAGCTTAAGCTTTATTTAAGAACCCAACAAAATTTAATGGCAAACTTCCCTGTTTTAAAAGAAGTTAATAGTTAATAGAACGAAACATTTAGAACAAAGTATCTACAGAGCAAGGAAAGCTCAAAGGGTGAGAAGTTAGGATAACTTCTGTAAAGTCCTTTTTAGGAGATCTTTATTTTTATTATATGTATATCGCACTTAAGATTCACAGGAAGTTATTTTGATTTTCTTACATTTTTCTACTGTATTGCCTAATCATTGATTCACTTACCATATGTAAAAACTACTAAAATATGAGGTAATAAATTTTTTGTCACTGCTAATATCATCAGAATATAAAACTAACCAGAGCTATATTTCATAACAAACTAAGTACTTTCTTTGCATACTAATGGACTTAGAATTCTACAATTCACGCAGAAATATTGTTGCGTATCTGCTTGTTTGTTAATTTCCGGTATAAATTCTTTCCGAGGAACTTCAGTGATACAAGTTCTTTCTTGATTAAAACTAATTTATTCTTTCTCGATACAAACTTTGTAATACACAGAATTTCCTATCAGTACGTTAAACGTATGTTTGTTTGTTTGTTTGTTTG